AAAAAAAGGTTGGAAAAAAAAAAAAAAAAAAATGTAGGTTATACAATCTTTTTATGATGAGCAAGGTTTTTATATCATGTAGTTTGGCTCCCCAAAAACTAAAACTAAAAAGTTACATACATATGTATATATAGCGCTGTCAAAACGATTAATCTCATAACTTTAATTTGATCATTTTTGTTCATTTGTTTTATATTTGTTATTTTATTTTTACATTTGTTTATTCAAATGTATATTATTAATTGTAAGGAAAATTTCAGTTTTTAGTTTTTACCTGGCAGTTACACCACATGACATTTTTAGTCATTAAATTGAAACGTTTCTTGAAAATATGAAGTTTTTCAAAATCATATGAAACCAGCATGCATACAAAGAGCCCATTTGTAAGAACTTGGAACATGTTTTTTTTTTAATCAAAAGACTTTTCCTTTTTGTTACCACGAACATTAGGTTTGTCGTTGACCCCTATGTTTGATCCTGGACTGTAAACTGATGCTCACGTTACAATGTGAAATAAGCACTTCTAATGTGTGTGACATACTTACAGCAGTGTACTTTCTCCTTTTCGTTTCTCATGCAGGGATACTGGAATGGCCTTTTTGGACCAAACTGGTGGTGGTGGCTATAGGCTTCACTGGCGGACTGGTGTTCATGTACGTGCAATGCAAGGTCTACATCCAGTTGTGGAAGAGACTCAAGGCCTACAACAGAGTAATATATGTGCAGAACCGCCCAGAGACCTGTAAAAAGAATGTTTTTGATAAGCCCTCTCTTCTGGAGCCCAACTTGGAGAATAAAGAGGCGCTCGGGCCGGCGCAGTCGGACACAAACTCTTCCCAGTATACAGAGACAGAGGACTACAGTATGGAGATCCTGCACGTCTGATCGCTTGGCCCACATATACCCCCTCCTCCCCTCTAGAGGACCGGCTGGGGCGTCGCATGCTCCGGGACACACGGGGATGCCACACAGCACCGGGCACGAGGACTGTCTGAGACTGAGACTCGTTTTGTTGTTTAGATGTTATTTTCTCTTCGTTCGTTTGTCCAACCTGTTCCTGTAAGTTGTTGGCTAACCATAATGAATCAGTGTGCGCTAGATCTCGGATCATTCCAACTACTGCCATTGTACTGCTGTCGTCGTACACGAGTTGAAATCCACCGTTCGAGCTGTGTATGTGCGCTGGTTCTGCAATGCATAGAAGCACTTTTTATTTCCCTGTTCTTAAGAGCCCTGTTTTAATAATATATTCATTCCCTTTCTACGTGGATAAGACATTAAAACAAACTTGAAGTTTTGCCAGCGAGATCTCACGTTTTATAGGTGCATTTGTGTCTCCGCAGACCCCTCAGATGGAACAAAAAAGGAATCCGAAGGAGCAGTAAGGGAACATTCATGTACTGTTATGTATCATTCCACTTATTTTCGAAATCTATTATGACTGAGTAAATTCTGAATTTCGTCATTGTGAAACTGACACAACCTAGGCTTTGTTTTGTATCAGCTGATTACTAAATCTGGATCATCTAATTACAATATTTATCCTATCAAGGGCTAGATTTACTAAAGTGCGACGCTACAGTTCTTGGCACGTGCAAAAATTATCCCATACGGTGACTAGTCGCCGGCTATGCTGCTGATTTTTGCATTTGCTGAAGACTTCACTGGGCTAGTGAAAGACTTTAGTAAATCAGGCCTTAAAGTGTATGTTGCGAATGTAAAGAATTCAAATTTCTCCCTGAAGGAAATTAACTTCAGTGTAGCATCGTGCAAGCTTTGCAATGAATCAGTCATGAATTCTGTGTGTGAAAGAGATTTACCTTCATTATGAATTTTACCTTTTACCATTCTAAATCCAAGATTTTTTTCTGTTCTTTTATAAAATGGATTATTAAAGATCTGCCATTGCTTCTGAGTTGATTTTAAACCACTTGAATAACAGGAATGGGGTTTTAGCAATGATGAAATGATGAATCGAACTAGTTAGCAGGACTATTACCCCCTTTCTGCTTGTTTGCTCAGATTTTGAAAACCATTATAGCAAATTTCCCATGGGTGTAATTTCAGGTTTGTATGTATTCGGTAATATTGTTTAGCATTTCAATGGCTTTAAATGTTGGGAAATAGCCATGTTAGTTTTGGCCTTCATTCTAATGTGTATTGACCTGGATAGGACTTTGATTGACGTCCCCAGCAATGATCATTTTTATGGGCTGTGCTTCTTATAAACTATTGTGAATGAATCTTTTTCATGCTCTGATATGTTCAAAAGGTACAGGATACTTCTGCCATCTAGAGCTACTGCACAGAGAATGCACATTCATAATTTTTTAACGTCTTCTGACTGGCTTTGTGCCCTTTGACCAATAAAAGATGCTCAATGTTCAGTTTGCTAATGGCATAGCTTTTGTATTCCTTATCAAGTCGACTTCTTACGTTGAGTCTGTCTGTATGTGACCAAGCATATTCTTTGGATAACGTTACAATGTATGCACTACAACAATGCATTAATGCAACCCCGTCAGCTTTGAGAACATCCAAATGAAGCCTTTTTTTTGTTGGAGATATGAAGATGCGTGGAATACAAGTACTGCACTGGTTAAGTGTTTTGCCAGTAAATCCTTACCAGCCCCATAGCCTAGCGATATGAGACATTTTACTTAGTTTTATGGCAGTAATTAAGATTCAGTGTATACATTTCCCAAGTTTGGTTTCTTTGATAGCATATTTGTAAAATGATGGGAGCTGGCTCCTTTTACTATCTAGTGATGGAAACACTGAAACAGATACACATTTTCCAGAATCTTTTTAGCACTGCACTGCATCATATTTTGATGGATGTGTTTTAAAGTGCAGTAATAGTCTTGTTTGTTTCATGGCTCGTCATAGAAGTGTTCAGTGCATTACTACTGAATTGGCTTGAACATGGATAACATGACTGTTTCTTGCATCTCCCTCTTATTTCTTGTACTTTTTCTCTAGTAGTAAATAGTTTCTCTAAGCATTTTTTGAGCATTAAAGCAGCACTATGTAACTTTTTCTGTGCTCAAAATTGGCCAAATGTATATAATGAGCGAGTACATCATGAATTCATCTTCCAAACCGCGTTTTTGTCTTATTCCGAATCACTACGGTACACTTATAATAAGTAGGCTACTTATATGTGGACTATTGTAGCCTGGTCGGGTCGTCACCGCTGCGGAGTAACACATACCTGCGTGAATCGCCATAGACATAAACTTAGAGAAGTAGCTCCGGTTGGAATGTTCTTCCGCGGGATGTGTGCAGTTCTGTTTATTAACCGCTAGAGCGCCAAAAGTTACATAGTGCTTCTTTAAAAAACAACCAAATAAAGGAAATGTAGAAGTTATTTTCACCAGCCTTTGTTGTACCAGATGTTTGTTTTTATAAATTACTGTAATAACAGGTGATTAAAGGTCTGAAAACTGAATATGCCTGGATATGTTGAACGAATTATTTCCCATAGGAAAGTTAAATGATATTCTCAGTTGGTCATTTATGTGTTGTCAAGGCCTTTAATAAACACTGTGTCAAATAGATAACATCAGTGGAGTTGATCAAGCATTTCACGTCGTGGCTTTCTCAGTGGATAAATACTGGTTTTGTGAAACTGAAAAGGCTGTAATTTACATGTATAGTTTTGTATTTTATGTATGTTTCTCTTTTTCCCCCCGCAGTATTACCACCTTTATCTGGTTGATTTTAGTTTCTTCGCTGAGACATGAGTGACTACATTTGTGCTGTGTTTTTAAAGGGAGTCTGAGTGGAGCAATAAAAGAAATCTTAACTTAGCCAGTGTCGAACTGCACCGTTTATTTGTCACTGACTCATGAGTTTCAGTTTTTCTGAAGTGAGTTCTCATGTGATCCTTCAAGAGCGATGCATTTTATAAGTTTATTATCATCACAGTACCAAATGCTATTTTATTAAGAAACTAGGCCAAACATTAAATCCTCATGCACTGCGCATGAGCCATAGAGCCAGAGGGAAAAAAAGGGGTCATAAAGGTCAAGCAGCTTCCATATTAGCTCCATGTCTTTGCCTTTAGCTCCCCCCTTGGTAGGACACAAAAACCAATGAATTTAAAACCCACATACATGATGACTAAGATATTTTCAAATAAAGTTTAGTTTGAAATATCTACATAACGTGTCATACTGTCAAACTCTCAAATGGCCCCCCAACACAAGAAGAGAAGAAAGGAAGGTCATTACACAGAATACAGTTCATTAAATGGCCCCTGAGAGCTGACCTTACAGACAACCCCCACAGCATTGATCTAAAAGCAGCTGGACTCTGTTATTATTATTGTACTCTTATTTTACCAGGCTAGTCTCGGGAGATTAAAATCTCTTTTCTGAGAAAGACCTGGCCAAAACGTGTCTAACAACTAAATATATTATCAGGATAGAGGCTGTAATAAGCATTTGATTGAATGTTCCAAGATATGATGCCAACAAAGCAATTAGTGCTTTATGAAGGTGTACTATTAAAAATGATCTAGATGGAAAATCTAATAAAAATGGTGGAGGAAGCCTTTCCCAGAAGCACATGCAGGCATGATTGATCGATCTGACCTCAGCTCAAACACACACACAGCATCAGACCGCAGCTCTCAAGGTCAAAGCAGGGATGTGTCTGTCCTTCCTGCTGAGGATGTTCTCAATGTCTTCTTATAATAATCTGCAATTCAAAATGAGACTGCCAACATCAAACATTTGGAAACAGTGCTGTATCAGCATTTAAGGCGGATGGTAGATATGAACAGGATGCTCATTACAACGAGTCACATTTTTGTCTAATTCAAAGTTATTACAGGTCATTTTTAATTTAAATCTATTTATAATGTGTGAAGGACACCACTTTTTAAATGAAGGGCAGCAAAGATGAATTGCATGTTGCGGGTCAGTTTCAAATGAGTGTGAATTGATCATTTTGCAGCTCAATTTTAAGGCCCTTCAATTTATTTCTATAATAACTAAAGGCCACTGTATGTGTGGCATATACTAAACTTTAAAGTGCAATGTGTTGTTGAACTGAAACTTCAACCAAGCAAACACTTTAAGAAATGTGTTATCAGCTTAAACGGATACAAAGCTTTTGTGTTTTAAGTAATGCTGCAGTGGAAGAATGCTACACAGAATAAATTGCCGTATTTCTGAAGACATGTTTGAAAAAGTAAAGAAATCAAATAATTCTAGGGCTCTGAGCTGGTGTCAGGTTAAAAATGAAAGATTAAAACATTATTCATACCACAACACTAAATACAGGTATGTGCATCTTTATGAGATATTGTACTATATATTATCTTAAAAGAGACATTGTAAAATACTGTAAAAGTGCATCTTTATTTTAAATGGACAGCAATATAGTCTGGCAAATACATTTTCAAAGTATACACTTTCTTTGGGACATATGGGACCATCCTGACAAGTGTGGTCTCCATGATTTACGGTCTCTTGCACCAATTTAGGGCAGAAGAAGAGGAAGAGGAAGAAAGAAGAGGAGCACTTTCCAATTTCCTTTTTTTTAATTAGGTACACATGACTTTTTTGCTGAAGGTTAAACCTGAAGGACAATTTATTTACCAATTAATTAATATCGGACAAGGATGCCTGATGTGTGTGTGTGTGTGTGTGTGTGTGTGTGTGTGTGTGTGTGTTCATTTAGTTACAGACTCCTAATTCAGCAATACTGACATTATTCATAATTGATGTTGAATTTTAAATGACTGCTTGTATTATTATTAACATAAAATGCATTGTTTCCTGAAGGAAGTAGTAGTGTCATATCACTAAAACATAATAATATCCAGAAACATTTCCAATTTCTTTAGGATCAGATTGTCAAATCTAAAAATAAGTAAATAAATAATATACAATACTATAGGAGCTATCAAAACCAACAAAAGAACAATAATATGCAAGTACTCTGGTTCTTGTCCTAAACACTGGTAGTACATTTTGTTACTTTGTTGTATGTCATGTATAATGCGAGTGTGCGAATGTACCAAGTGTAAAGGTTGTAGGTGAGTTATTAATAAATAAATAAACAAATAAATAAATAAAATTGTAGTGAGGATATAGAGCGCCCCCTGCTCCCCACCCACCCACCATGCAGGCGTTTAGCCTACTGAACAAAAACGGAGGAAAGTTAATTAAAAAAGAGATATATAGCTAGATATTGGTTGAAAATGTCCTCTGTGTGTGTGTGTGTGTGTGTGTGTGTGTATTCATTTGTTTATTCATGAACAGTGCAGTCAGTCTGCTGTGGTTTGAGTAGCTATAAAACTAATAGATTTATAATGATCAGTGAAGAGCATTTCATCATGCACTCTCATTAAGCATGAAACATGTTCATTTATCTTATTCTTGTATTTATCTAGATAGAAAAGTAGATATATGTGGAAATAGCTTAAGTAAACAATGAAACACACATACATTCAGTAAACCAACAGAATAAAAAAATAATATCCTGTCTGTTTCTCAATATACACTGTATTCTTGATTGATTACATTGTCAAATCCATTTAAAATACTGTTTAGGTCTGTATTGAATCTGACTGAGTTTTTACATTATCTTTTGCATTTCTGTCAAACATGTTCTGTTTGAAACATTACGTTTACATTTTATTGTGCATTACGTTTTAGGCTCTTTTTGTTATTTGAAAAAGTTAAACTAGTAGAGGACACACTGAAGTTTGCTTGTTTTTATACTGTATAACCTGTAAATAGTTATCATGATATGAAATTATGAATTCATTATATGCCTGCCTTAAACCAGTTACTGACATATCTGTCAAACACTAATAACTGATAAATCATAAGTTAGGCTAAATAAGTTAAGTTTGAACACTGCTTGGAGCAGATTTTGGTAAATTAGTAAAA